CACCTGTTGGGATTACTATCATCAAAAAGACAAGAGATCACATGCTGGCAAGGGTGTAGAGAAAAAGGAATACTTATACACTGTTGGTGGGAATGTACATTCGTACAGCTTTTATGGAGAACAGTATGGCAGTTACTCAAAAAATAAAAAATAAAACTACAACATGATTCAGCAATCCTACTTCTGGGTATATATCCAAAGGAATCGAAGTCAGTATCTCAATGAGATGTCTCCACACTGCAGCATTATTCCCAATAGCCAAGATATAGAATCAACCTAAATTCCTTCAACAGATGAATGGATAAAGAAAATGTGGCATATCGCTTCTTGGCCATTTATTTTTATTTTTTCTGGGAAACATTTGCCCTGAGCTAACATCTGTTGCCAATCTTTCTCTTTTTTCCTTCTGAAAGGAAATACACATAGTTGTATATTCTAGTTGTAAGTCCTTCTAGTTTTTCTACATGAGCCACTTGCACAGCATGGCTCCTGTCAGATGAGTGGTGTGGTTCTGGGCCCTTGAATCAGAGCACACTGAACTTAACCAGCAGGCCATCAAGGGTGGCTTGATTGCTTCTTGGCCTTTTGACTAAGATCAAGTGTAGAAAATGTGGTGTCTATACATAATGGAATATTATTCAGCCATAAACAAAGAAAGAAATCCTGCCATTTGTGATAACATGGATGGACCTGAAGGGCATAATGCTAAGTGAAATAAGCCAGACACAGAAAGACAAATACTGCTTGGTATCACTTATATGTGGAATCTAAAACAAAGGCTGATTTCATAGAAACAGTGGTAGTTGGCAGGTTGGGGGGGCTGGTGCTGAGAGGAGAGGAAATGAGGGGATATATGTCAAGGGTACAAATTTTCAATTGTAAAAAAAAGTTTTGAGATTCAAACGTACAGCATGATGACTATAGTTAATAAGAGAGTAGCGGGTATTATATAATTCAAAATTGTAGAGAGTAGCGCTTAGATCTTAATCATTCTCACCACACACAAAAATGGGTTAACTATATGAGGTGATAGGTGTGCTAATTATCTCGATGTTGGAATTACACAATGTATATGTCTATCAAATCATTATGCTGTACATTTTAAATGCATAGGATTATATTTGTCAGTTATTCCTCAACAACGTTAAAAAAAAATCTCAACTCGAAAAAAAATGTAATGTGTACTAGGTATCAACATTACATTTTCCAATAATTTTAGTGAATTACTTTACAGTTAGATACATGTTTAATAAAACTATACCTCAAGTTAAAAATAAGAAAGCATTTTTTATCATATATAAATTAAAATCATAATACACACATATACATATGAATATACACATATCTATCAGGAAAGAGTTAAGTCCCTTTTGGCATACATATATTATGGAAAATTACTCATTTAAATTTTTAATGAAGAAATGATAATTAAAGGATATCTTTATGTTTTAAAACTATGTGAGAAAGCAGAGTATATATCATATATAATATATAGTAACAAATATGCTAATCGCAAGGCAGATTATGCCTAGTACAGAAGGAACTAGACAGAAATATGAAATATTTCAAAACATTCTGTGTTTTTCCTGAATAATAGGAGTTTGTTTTCCTTTGGCTTTATACTTTTTGGCACTTTTTGAAAATTTTCTACAGTGAGAAAATAATACTTTTAGAATAAAAAAAGAAGTTTATATGTAAAAGTAAAATAGAGCAGCACAACCCAGAGTAGGTATTCCAGAGAATATCAGCTCCAGGGGGATAAAGGAGGATGAAGAGTAACTCAAGTCTTGGGCAAGCACCAGTCAGCAGCCTCGCTTCTTTCTCCAGCGCAGACTGTTTACTGCGGCTGGCAGCCTTCCCCCATCAAAGGCAGCTCTCGAACATTAATAAGGACACTGAATTTATCAACATGTCTCGCAGTTGTCAGCTCATGCCATTATTTTTAAGATAAAATTTAAGTTCTTCAGCAGCAAGCATGGCTCCTTTTTACTAAAAGTAAAAGGAGTCTATTTTTACTAAAAAGTCTATTTTTACTAAAAACCATCAAATCCATTCAAAGTTTAACAGATTCATGGAGAAACTACTTGAAATAAAATCTTTTACTACTCATCTCAGGGTTCAGCAAAATATTACCAAAGATATTTTATGGGCTCATTTTCACGGATAAATTTCTGTGATCACTTATCCACTAGGGCTACATATGTGACTTTCTACTATTTATGGCCCTGATCAATTTATTTATGTGTGTATGTATGTATGTACTCATTTATACATTCATTTAGCACATGTTTATGCAAGACCTACAATGTACACTGTCCATATAGTAGTAAGCACATCAGATGAGTTTGCTGCCATCGAGATGAGCAGATGAGTGCATTATAGCAGAAACTGTTGGTTGCCTCCCCATTAGAAATTGTCTTCCTTTTACTCTCTATATAAAAGAAGCAATCTTTCACAATAGAAGCTGAAAACCCTAAGGTCGCACTTCTGCTTGGATACATGACCAAGTTTGGAAAGACTTCTTAAAAAATTCCTCTCCTCTAGAAAAATTATGATGCTGAAGGACAAATGCTTCCCCTTTTCTTCTCTGCCTTGGTGCACAGCTGGACGAAGATAGTATATAGGTCTTTAGCCACTATCATAGTACAATGAGAAATCAAAGCTTAAAACAAGGCTGTAAGTTAAAGATAGTGACATGGAAAGGCAGGAAAAATAAACAAACAAAAAAATCTGGGTCCTTATTGGCACTGTTTAGCTACCGAATAAACTATAAAACTCATGCTTCCAGACTTCTTGTTACCGTAGTTAATAAAAATCCTGCTGTTCAAAAGTTTTTTGGAAGAATGTAAACTGAAGGCATCATAATTTATGCAACTTCATGTTCTATTCATACACAATTCACCTGATTCCATATATAAGTGCTTCTCTCAAAGTGAGGTGAAATAACAAGGCTTACAAATAATGTCTCATTTTTAAGTCATAAAGATTTTCAATAAATCCTGATTCTGGCAATTTCTGACAGTTGATAAACTACAAATCTATATTCAACAACTGACATATTACAGAGAAGCAAATCACTAAAAATGATTGGATTTCCTCATTCTCTTCTCCTAACTTTTCTTTCTGTAACTCTTCAACTTAAGAAATGAAATTCAAAAGATTTAAACAGCCTCATATGATCTATCTTTATACAAATCTTTCAGCCTAATACCTAAAATTTATCAGCTCTAGGGACCTTGAGTATGTTTTATTACATTCCCAATATTAAGTTAAACTAATTCACAGAGAACTAGAAATTTCCTTGTAAATGAAAATATACAAACACATGCACACACTTTTTCTTTTTTTGCCAGTTTCAACTATTTATTTTTGATGACTGCAAAAAGCTAAGGCCAAGCTGAATGTAGGAGTTAAGATATCTTGAGTGTAACTGTCTCAGCATGAAAGATTAAAGATAGGCAATTCCTTGGGTTTCATACTTGTATCTACTTATCACATACAACAAGCAGAGTGCTGAGAGGTGGGGGTCAGCACTCACTAAAGAGAATTAATTCACAGTTTCCTTGGTGTGCTGGGGAAAATCTTGTTACAAATGAGGTCAAAGGAATGGCAGGGAGACTATTTATGGAAGAGCAAATGGCAAGATGTGCCCAGATTCATGCCTTGCATGGAATGAGTGTTTAATAAATATTGTTTGACATAATAGGAACACTTTCCCACAACTCTAAGCCAAAAGTAAAGGGGCCAAGGATAAGAGATAAGTTCTTATTGTTTTCATTGGAAAAATACCAGAATTTTCCAACCATTAAATAAAATGAGGTACCACCCCTTTTTAATTTAAACCTGACATGCGTAGATTGGGATGATCATTGTGGTGAAAACATTTTTAAAAAGAATATTACACAAAAAGTAATTAGCACTTATTATTCACTAAACAAATTGTTATTCCTACTACCAAGAGCCTAATACTCAATCACTTGGCAATGCCAATGTACCACAAGCACGACAGTTAAGAGCCCCTGCCTCTTATCTCCCCTGCTCAAGGGAGATAAAAGTCTGTATTAGTTTCCTCTTGCCGCTACAACAAACTTTCATAAACTAAGTGGCTTAAAACAACACAAATTTATGCTCTTACAGTTCTGGAAGTCAGAAGTCTGAAACGAATTTTACAGGACTAAAATCAAGGTGTTGGCAGGGCTGGCTCTTCCTGGAGTCTATGGGGGAGAATCCTTTACATTGCCTTTCCTCCCCTAGTTTCTGTGGTCACACAACCTTCTTCTTATTTAGGCCTTCTTATCTCACTCTTATAAGGACTTGTGCAATGATTTTTAGGGCCCATCTGGATAATTTGGAATAACCTTCCCATCTCAATATCCTTAATCACATCTGCAAAGTATCCTTTGCCATAAAAGATAACATTCACATGTTCTGGGGATTAGCAAGTGGATATCTTTGGGGGCGGGGGGAATTATTCAGTCTACCACATGCGTCGTTTGTGGTAGATGTCTACTTACACATAGGTCTTGACTTGATAGTCTTGTAAAGAAAAGTATCAATAACCAAAGGCAATCAACAATCAACACTGACTAAGTACAAAGAGTCTTAATAACAAAGAGACTTATGCAGGGATATCTGGAAGTCAAGAATGTAGGCTAGCAGTGGATCTCATCTCTGGAAACTTGCTTCATATATGCTCTCCTTAATGTAAATATTCTAAAATACAATACTCCTCAGTGCTGAATTAAAGTATTTGAAGTTTACAAAGAGACTTTAAACACTTTGGAATGATGCCTGCCTTTGATTACAAATGTACCCAGGAAACCATATCTTTGTTTATCTCCATTAATTAAGTAGGAAAGAAAATGAAAGCATTTTCAATGCAGCCAAACACAACTCTAATTCTTGTGAAAATATGGAAATTAAATTTAAGCTAAATAATATGTTAGGTCGCTTACATATTGAGCTAGCAAGTGAGAGGAGGAAGAGAGAAAGACGCTCACCTTAAACAATAAATCCTTCTTCCCGTAACGAAGTTCCTTCAGCTGGGATTGGATTCTTTTTGACTGCAAGAGAGAAAAATAGATTAGGGCCTTAATATCATCTATATTTTCAAACATGCAGATTAAAATTCTTTCCAACTGTACAAGAATAAATTTTGCTGCCAAGCAAAAAAGAGCCCAACTAGTTTGGAAGTGAAACAGAAAAGCTTATTCTCTGCTTTGGGAGTTGGACTTCCAGTTACTCTAGGCAGGAAGAGCAAATTGAAGCCTGTTCAAAGGAAGCATATTGTTTAAAGAGTAATATTTAAAGAAAGTGGCAAAGAAATCTCTCTCAGCAGACATGTTTGGCTACCACACTGAAATACGTTCCAGTAAGCCACAGAAGATGATCATGCATTCCCGTTTTTCCAGAGCAAATCCAGTTTCAAACACTCTAACATAAGGACCTCAGTTATTTATCTTTCTATATCTAAGATTATAGGTTCTGATTCTTCAATAGGAGAAAAGAAACCACAAACAAATAGATTATCATAGTCACATGAAAAAAACGATAATTGACAAAATAGTTGAGTGGTAATGTGAAAGGGTATAGCCACTTTGGGAAACAGTTTGACAGATTCTTATACAGTTAAACATATACATACTACATTATATAGCACTTTTTTCTAGGCATTTACTCAAGATAAAATACAATATATGCATAAATGTTTATGGTATCTTTATTCATAACAGTCAAAAGCTGGAAACAACCCACATGTCCCTTAACTGGTGAGTAGTGAACAAATTATGGTACATCTATGAAATGGAATCCTAGAGTCCTGTTGGGTAATTTTTAAAAATGAATTAAGTACAGAAACATGTAACAACGTGGATGGATTTCAAAAGTTATTCTACTATGTGAAAGAATGCAGTCACTAGAAGCTAATTTTGTATAATACCATTTACGTGATATTCAAGACAGGACAAAAGGATAGGGACTGAAATCAGGTGAGTAGCAGACATAGGCTGGGGGTTGCTGGTAAAGATTATAAAATAGCAAGAGGAAACTTTGAGGCTGATAGAAACATTTTATATTTTAAATATACACATTGATCAAACCCATCAAACTGTATACTTAAATGAAGTGAATTGTATGTAAATTATATCTCAATAAACTTCAGTTTTAAAAGTAGCTAACCATAGTACATAATAAACACAAGATCCTCATGGGACTATTATATCCTAGTGAACTGAAAGTCCTCTTTAATAAGTAAAGCCCACTCACATTTTTGAAACACTACAATTTTCCAAGCATACGACTGTAAGAGTCTTTCATTGAATGAACTGCAACTGTACTGTGACTCAGTTTCCTATTACATTCAGAACATCTCTAACCATGCACAGTAGTACAGTTGGCACAGTGGGACACTGTCATGACTGTGTTCTAATTCTGAAATCCCTGCCTAATGCTGGAAACATCACCAACTAGAGAAAAATATTGAAAGTGTTGTAAATGATAGACCACCGCAAGGCTCTAATGTTAGAAACCAGTTTTTCACAGGTCTCCCTATCATGAGCCAACTGCATTTCATGATCTGTTGAATCAGGAAGTTGATCAGAGAGAACAAAAAGAAGAAAAAAATGAAATGAAAATATAAGAAAGGAAGAAAAGAAGAGGAGAGAAGGAGAGAGGGAAAGTGAGGAGAACAGGGGGGGGGGCAATGGGGGAGCGGGGAGTGGAGAAATAGACAGGGGAGAGAGAGAATGGCTAGAGAGAGAGGGAGAGAGAAAGGAAGGGAGGAAGGGAGAAAGTGTTTGACACATTAACAATTCTGGATTATGTACTCAAACTCTATACCCAGATGGAGCAAGGATTTGTTACAAATTACTATATGTAATTACTTATAAACTTGTTGCTATTTTTCCATTTCAGTAAAAAGGCATCCCTTTTCTCTTCATATGGTTAGTGAGAATGAAATGAATGACATAAAGTTTCACAAGACAAAGAGCCATCATTGCGTGTATGTGGTTGTTACTGGCTCTTAAGAATGAAAACTCACACTTGAGTCGTCAGCCCCCTGAATTTATAGTTCTATTTTAGAACACTACATTTACTATGACTCTGGTCATCCTGACACAAAATTTCCCAAGTGACCCAGAATAGAATTTCAGACACAATGTTTCTCTCTTATTACATTAACTTCATCTCCAAGACATATCCTGGTTTTCGCGACTATCCTTAATTTTGTGCTACTGATTTCAGTTAAGGACCATTTCTGTTATCTTCCCCAACTTCAAATGCACAGTTGATTGGCATCTTCTCCCTGCTGTTCCAGGACTCATTTGTGGCCAGGATAGTCTGTTAGGAAAACACACTTTCATTTTTTTTCCAAACTGATGTTGACCAACATCAATGGAGAATGAGAGACTACTACTACCTATGGTGTGCACAATTTGCCCAACTTCACTCCTAGTCTTACACAAAATTGATGCTCTATCTTTTAAGTGTTAGAAAGGACCCACTTTAAACTTTTTGGGTGTTCAATTTTTATTTTATTTTATTTTACATATTTTTTTGCTGAGGAAGATTCGCCCTGAGCTAACATCTGTTGGCAATCTTCCTCTTTTTGTATGTGAGGTGCTGCCACAGCATGGCCACTGATAGACAAGTCGTGTAGGTCCATGCTGGGAACCGAACCTGAGCCACCAAATTGGAGAGTGCCGAACTTAACCACTAGGCCACTGGGGCTGGCCTTGGGTGTTCATTTTTTAATGCATACTTATACTGAATGCACAGAATATAATTTAAGCTTTTCTTTATAATTTGTATTCATTATTAAAACACCAATTTTGTATTATGCAATGATTCATTTATAATAAAACCTACATGTCTTTTTCCTGCACTAAGTAACATGAAAAACTAGATTTCTCAAGCTTAGTTATGGTTATTTAAAAATAATTTTTTAGAAATTTTCATCACTTCATCACTCATCACTTCTCTGCATTGTATATTCCAGCCTTCTAATTTTCAGTGAGTTAAAAAGCAAAATCCTTCTGAATACCTGATGAGAGTAGGCAGAGTAAGAATAAATACATTTTGAGTGAGTGCATCTCTATCTTGTAATGTATGTTGATTTGAAACCCACCCAACTGACACTTTGACTGTTTTCTTTTAGCATGTTAGCATCATTTTGAAAAGTTATAATTGTCAGAGGGGTAATCGTCAAACAATGCAGATATTACTAATATTGGGGACTTTAGTAATTTTCTTTTAATTATATTAATGATTTTAAATGTAAATCATTGGTGGTGACTGTAAGTCATGAAATTCTCACAAGTCCACAGCGAAATTACAGTTTGTGGTGATGATGATGGTTATAATTATAATAAAAACAAGATGAAGAAGGTGAAGAAGACATAAGAAGAAGGTGGCCATGATAGAACATTTTAGCTAGGCTCTGAGATTTTCCTTTCCTACACTTTCATATTCAAATAGCATTTCTTTCATAAAATAATAGTGATGATGAGTAGTGATATTTGTTGTAGACTCCATTGTTTTTAATATTCTGCCTTAGCAAATTAAAACATTGGCAATACATTGCATGTCGATGGGATTTGAATATATTATTCATCTACGAGTAGAAAGTGTTTAGGGTCACTGATCTACAACATAAGCTCCTTTTAGCTGCTAAACCAATAGAAGACATTACCATTTTGTGGTGGTGGTGGGAAAACAAACAATTAAAGTTGCCGCCATATTCTTTCGAAGTGTTATCGTGGCAGAAAAAAATATGTCTCTCTCATCAACCAGAATGTTAAACTCTAAATTTTTTCCATAAACAAATAAAGAGATAGGGCAAATGAATAAATTATAATGAACATATATCAATTCGTTTCAACATTATACAATGGTAATATATGGCGCACCTAGGAATTCGTAAATAAGAAGGCAGAAATAATATATGATCTAAGGAATTGAGAAGAAGAAAAAGTTTGAAGCATTCTTGAACTAAGGGACTAAAACATGCAGGTAGGCTCCGGTTGTTTTTGTTTGTTAGTTCATTTGTTTCTAAACCCCACCAAATCATCTTCTGCTGGAAGCCATCTCTCTTTCATGTATCTGAGTGCTATGGGGACCCTGGGAACATGTCAACCATCTCAGAGTGGAGCTTCAATCTGGATAGCCCTTATTCATAACTTACCTCCACCTGCCTACCCTCATATAAGTAATATCCAGACACTGCAAACTATGCATGTAATATTTCTAGAAACCAATCAAATATAAACAATATAAGAGGCTATTTCTATCCAAATATAAAACTTTAATGAAAGAAACACCATACAGACTCATGTCTACAAGCCATTTGGTTTAATGATTCATTTGTGGTGCATCAACCTTTAGTTTCTATGTATTGAAAATTCCTATTCATTTCATACTCAATATTATTGTAAAGACATTATAAAAGGATGGTTATATTGCATGTTAGACTCTAACTGCAGTGTTCATAATGATGAATTTTACATGAATTTTTCATCAAGGTGTATTCTCATTTTCTTTAATAAAAGAAATCCCAAGTTTTGGATAGGCATATGATCACCAACCTAATGACATTTTCCAGCCTCCTCCCACTCAGCTAAGCAGGTGACCCTGGTGAGTAGGGTGCAATGAGATATGTACCTTCACGCCCTAGCTGGACTCCTACAAAGGAATGCCTGTGAGTCCAGGTGATCTTCTCTGTCCCTCTTGCTAGAAGGTAATAGTAACAGGAAAAGCATTCTGGAAAGAGAAGTAGCTACATATTTAGAAAATGATGGAGGTATTTCACCAGCTCTGTGCCTTACTTCTAGACTGCTATGGAACAAAGGGGAAACTGTTCTTGTTCTATCCAAACCTCTTTCCTTCCCCTTTCCTTCATAGAGATCAGATTTGCATTGTGGTAGGAAGACTCTCATGTCTGTTCCTTGTCAGTCACAGGCTTTCCCATTAACAAATTCCTTGCACAACTAATCCCAACTTTGTGTGCACTTCTTGGAGGATCCAACAAAACACAGCGACTCTTGTCTCCTCTCTTTGAGGTAGCAAGAAATCACTTACTACCACACTATCTCTACGACCTCTGTTACTAAGAATCACTGACTATGAGCTACATTTCTACAACATTAAATAGGGGATCATAAAGTACCGATGGATTTGAGATATCAGGAGTACAGGAAATGGATTTTAGTTAAACCTGCATTAACCAGAATGGCTTTTTTTCCCCTAAAAAAAATGAGACAATTTTCTTGCCCAGCAAGTAGAACTGATGAATGTATTTGTTTCTTAAGGTTTATGATCAACTCCAGAATCCTCATTCTGACTGTTTATTGTTACTGCAAAACTTTGTAGACATCACATGGATGGTACAAAAATGAAAACTTCATGGACCTCCAGGTATTTGCTATTAAGAAAATACTGATAATGCAGTTAAGGAAGGAATCCAGAAAATCATTGTAGGAAAGCAATATTTAACTGGCTTAAATTTTTTTTTTCTTTTTGGATATGCAATATTTAAACATCCAAAAATAGCTAAAAGTTTTAAACATGTTTTTGTTTCCTTCTTCCAATGTTTGCATTTATGTTAGAGGAAGAAAAAAGTCACCAGATGTCTGGGTTAAAAAACAATCTGGAACTAATACTGTTTGTGTTCGGTTGAAGCTAGAAGAAGAGAAAAGTTACTCACCTCTTCTGCGTGGAGGCCACAGAGCTTGCGTCCTGACAAGAGTTTGTTTTTCAAGCTTTTATTCTGAGGAAAGAAACATAGTTTTATTACAAAGAAGTGATAAAATATTAACAATTTCCTTAAATATGTCAACAGCATTTCTCTATATTTTGTCCATGGGTAAGTCCTTCATAATATGAGATATAATGGATTTGTATAAACTGAGTAGAATCTGCAATGTAAAAGAATGTTTGTTTTATTCAATTAAAATTTTGATGTATTAGCATTGGCACATTCATTTAAAAAGATGGAACTTCATTTGGCCTTACATTTAACTCTGTTTTATTCTATTCGTATATGTTATTTTATAAAATCATCCGCAATTGACGCTAGTTTCTGAAAGCACCCTCTAAAACAGCAAGCATTTATTTCTACTGTAATCTGGATGCTGCTCACCTTGGACCCCGGTGGAATATACTCACAGACCCATCGGAGTCTCACTCCCTTCAGACCACAGTGTTAGAGTCCTCTTACATCCCTGACACCTGTGTGTTGCACTCAAAGGGCTTCTTGATGCTCAGAATTCATTTCTTCTTCCAGGCCTCATAAGTAGACTCTCTCTGCTGAGCTCCACTACAGACAGATATGTTAACCCTTTGAACCTATCACAGTTGACCTAGATTCATAGACAAATGTTTGTTACTTCTGACATGGAGGCCCTGGTTTCTTAGCCATGTGAATCTCAACCCTGACAGCTGTTCAATCATATTGGCCTCAGTACACTCAGGCTTTTCTGTCTCTGCCCCAGCAACTGAGGGCCTTTTAGACAAGCAGACTAAGGGAGGGCAGAAAACTTTGTAAAGCCCACAGGATTTAGACTTTGTTCTGTCTCTACAGAGGCCAACAATGTGATGGTAAAGTACATCTCAGACACATAATGACTCTAAAGAGAGTCAATTTGATGAGCACCGTAAGCAAATTGAACCAAATTTATGCAGAGTAAATGAATAACCGAATGAATGAATACATCAAATTTAAGAGATCTTCACTTACAATTCCCACCTGATTTTGAACATCATTTCCTATTTTATCTTCCTATCACGCGGAGAGTGGGTACAGCTGCCTCAGTTTGAAAGAAGCCATGTCTAATTTTTCCTCTTTAGTGAAGAGTTGAAATTCTAAAAAGCTCATTTAGAATTTCAACACCATGAAATGTTTTACACAAATGAGGGGTTGTCTTTATTCACTGAAGTAATGACTTTTTGCAAATATTTGTACTTATCATACAACAAAGCACAGGATTAGGGTTTTTAAAGAGAATTTAATATACATTATCACTATACTTAAAAGCTTGTAAGCTACAATAAGGGGAACATAGAGATGTTCTAACAGCAGTGTTCCTCAGATTGTTTAAAAATACCCTAGTTTTCATTCTTTTAATGCCTATTTGAGATATTTTTGAACATGCAATCAAATTTTTTTCTAATAACCTGGTCTACTTTTCCCTTTTTGATTTCTCCTATTGTTTTTGTACATAGAGATATCTTTGCTATTTCTAGATATTTGATATTTAGGGTTTTTTTTACCTTTTTTATGTTTATAGTTTTTTAGTGGAAAGATTTGTGAATTTCAAATAAGGTCCATAGTTTGTCTAACAGTATCGTATTAATGTTAATTTTTTGGTCCTATAATTGTATGGTCACTCTGTATGATGTTACATTAGAGGTTTTGGTAGAGCTACAGGAGAACATTTTATATTAATTTGCTATGCCTTTTTCTATATCAAAAATTATTTCACAATAAAAAGTTAAAATGTCTAAAAAATAAAATTAAGATAAATAAAATTGAGAAAGATGAGTGAAGTACATCTGATATGAGTATTTATGTGCCAACATAAACCATCCACACCTGAGTAACTTTATCAGAAATGAGAATAAAGTTAATAAAATATTTAAAAATTGGCGTATGTAGTCTGTACTAAAAATTTGTCTTCACTTAAAGTTTTTCCCCTTTTTGTCTTTTATATTTTTTCTTTCTTTTTTCCTTCTGTTCTCTGTTCATTCTGTTCAGTTTTCAGGTGCTAGGTAAAGCAGTGAACAGAACGTTATTTCACTGGAAATGTTTACGACGGACTCGGATGATGTACCCGGATCCACGAGGGGAAGACCACGCTGGCGGCGTGGAGATCGTGCAGCCACCCAAACATGAGCAGTGAGCACATTGTGTGCCCACAGGCTGCTCTGGCGGGTGGTACTTCTGGGCAACTGTGTAAAGCAATATGTTTCCACTTAGCTGATTGTCATTTCCAGAGATTAAGAATTAGAGTATTTCACTGTATTGAAATATATTCAGAGGCGGGAATAACTAATTTTAATTGACCACAACGGGGCCAATTGTGGGACCATCTGGGAGACTTGTCAAGACCCAACAGGGGTTGTTCTTAGACAGCATGTTCCTCAGAAATACAGATGATACAGAGCACTGAATAGGGAATTCTGATTCCCAGACAATTCACTGATTAAACCTTTGTGCTCAATATGGGTGATCAGACTTCTTCTTTAATTCCAGAAAGAATTATGGCTTGACATAGTTTTTGCAGTTTTGTAATCAGACTTACATCACTTCATTTACCCTCTAAACAATGGATCACATCCCTAGCCAATCTAAAATAACAACTTACACACATAATTACACCCAAAATGCCAGGACCAAATATGATTATCCCTCACTTGAGGGGATATAAAGAAAAGTAGATTCAAAGAGTCATCAAATGTTTACGTCTGTTCTTTCTGCCTGTCACACTTCTACTTTCCCTGCACCTAATAATCATACCCTGATTTTCCTTATGAGAAATATTGTTGGCTGCTAATTCCATGCAGCTTGTGTGACTCTAACTTTACCACTATATCAACACAAAGGATAAGACTCAAGCCCAGCTGATCAGGGTCTTGGTCCAGATTTGGTAAAGTAATATATAAATTTTTTATTTTCAAGAATTATTGAGGAAAAAGTGCTGAGGGTCATTACTAAGTCAGAACGTATCTGAGAATAGACCCAACATAGAAAAAGAACACCTGAGTCTGGAGAGAGAAATGCTGAATCCGGGCGATGTGGTTGGCCCCCATGCCCCCTTCATACAGCCTTGCCTGAAGCTGATGAATTCTTGAGATTTTTAGCTACACGATTCTAGCAGCAGCCCTTCTGTTCTCTTAACACCACGCTTAGATCTTTTTGCCCACTCTATCTTACACAATCACATAATTCTGTCACTTCCTTAGGACTCAGAGTAGCAGAGAAGAACATCCAAGTAACCAAGCTTATATCTAACGCTAATGCCACCGCTTATCACAATGTGGGCAGAAAACATATCCATCTATTTGGGCTTCTCTAAATGGAAGGCAGACCCTGCTTACTACCTACTTGCGAAGTGCCTCCCTATTGGATGATGCACAAATTTGAGGCCACTTAAAACAAATGTCCTTACAATTTTCTTGGAATCCCAGCTTACATATGTGTCAGCCCTGCCTAAAAATGTCCTTTAATATTTCCCATATGATCAAACTCAAACTCAAATCTGATAGTAACAGAAAATCTTTCTTAATAAATAGATCTGCTTAATCGAGTTTTGATTTTTGCCTGGGACCTTGAACCATCACATCTGCAGCATAGCTTACTTGGTAGCTCAAATTTAACAAATATTCTGGGCTACAAAATAGAAGGAGGTATAAATCTGGTATCTCTAGAATCTTTCTATATGTAAATGTAAAAATTTAAAAATTACTATGAGTCTCCATTTTACATAGCATTTTCAAAGGAAATTAGGTATTCATTGGGATTTTTGCTTGTAAATAACAGAAGCCAATAATGGCTAACTCAAGCAAAATATGAATTTATTGTGGAGATTTCATGTAAAATAAAGAGAAAACCTGGGGAATAAGGCTCAGAGAGCAGGCAGGAACCAAGTAGGATGAGGTATCTACGATTATACAACAGGAATAGAGTTACTGTGACAAGTGAATGTGAGGCTGTAAATCACTGAGCTTAATTACAAGGTGCAATGATGAGGTGTCAGTTCACTGTCACAGTGAAAGTCTGAATCTGGGACCACTGAAGATTGTTAAATATAATAAAATATGTAAATGTGTTTATCATATTATTTTCTGGATTTAAATAGAATGTACCACTGCTGCCAGGCTGCTGAAAACATGTGTTAATGTCTCCAAGATGCAATTTAACGTAAATCAAAGGTACACACACCCACAGCGGTCCTCGAACTGCTAGCGGAGACTCTTGTGTCTCGCTGCGGAGAGCAGCGCCTGTGTGAGGATCTCCTGGAACTGATTGTGCAGAAACCGTTATATAGGACTGCTTGACATCACGTTTGTTTCAGTCTGAATGTGATTTTAAAATGCCTGGGAAATGGGCATGCCCTTTCAAATACGTCATCTTGCAATTGGAAATCTTCTATCTTGCATAAGTTTAGGAGTAATAGGTAATGTGGATACTTACCAAATACGGGATGATATTTTACAAATTTCCTCAAAGTCCCTTACTGAGGGCATCTCAGGAAAAGGATGTGTTATTGGACTGAGCTCGAAACCATGAGCATTTATGTCGCCAATTCTTAGACACACAATTTTTTCACTTTTTGGTGTTTCTGAAATCAGGATGTGGCCTACAACATTACGCACTTTTTGTTTAGGATTTATAGTCTCCCCATCCCAAGAAAGTTGTCAGATAATCCACTTTACCATTGATGACTCTTTAAAATTTAAAGATTGTTATTCCAAAGCTCTTGATTCAAAACGATAGGAAGAGGTCAATAAAGGGGAGAAATTCTTTCTCCCATTTAGAAAAGCTTCATTATATAGAAACTAGACGAAATAAGGAATGCATATTTGGCATTTTATTTATTCTAAGCCACACAGAATAAAAAGTAGAATTTACAATGAAAGGGGAGATAAAATTATTTATGAAATAGTTCTAAATCGATAATGGAGAAAAAGGCCAAAGGGAATGAGTCACCTATTTATTTCATAAAATAAATGCAGAGCTTTAGACACCTGAAATACCTTTGGTCAAAC